TCGTCCTTGGCTTGGGTTAAGCTGTCCATAAACACGAGCATGTTTGTCACGCAAGAGCGGTTTGGGAGAAATCCGTGTTGAGCTGGAGATATCAGATTGCTGGAAGTAAGGTGATCTAGGATAGCTCTCTTCAGAATGCGTTCCATCACCTTGCACGGCACGCTAGTGAGGCTTGTAAGCCTATAGCTGCCAGGCGATAGTCGGTCACCAGTTTCGTAGATTGGCGTGACAATCGCTTCCTTCCAAGCGGAGGGAAGTCGGCCTTCGTTAATACACCATAGTTTGACGAATGTTGCATGATGCAACTGAGCCCACAATTTGCTTGATTTTGGTGTCCCCCAAGTCACAAGGCGTTGGCCCTTGTGCCAAAAGTTTGTGCTGGTTAGAAGCAAATGATTTTCTGCAAATAACGGAAAAATTCACCCCACCTTATCTCTGTGGCGGGAGCCGATTCCAAACCAGCCGCCAAGATGGGAATCCTGAGGAATCGTTCGGCCAATCTGAGCACTTATATCATCCGCCAGAATCTAAATTGTGGTACTCCTCCCTGACTGAACAACCGTGACCAATTAGGATAGAAGCTCTCTTTCTCAGCATCCGTCATAACGCATGCTGAAAACTACAAACACACCGTTTTTCAGTTGTATAAATTTTGAGTGTGCCAGTCAGCCGAACAGCACAGAAACTACCGCTTACCGAAATTCAGTCTGATCAAAAGCATCTAAACCTGTGGCCAAGCACAACGCGCATGCCGTAGATACTGTGTGCAATTGCGTGAGGATCGCGTAACACCCAAAAGTAATGATGATCATGTTTATTTCCCAACTTGTGGGTGGCATACCGTCAGGAATGATAATACTTTTACGGTCAGAATGAAAGCATAACTGGCGGGGGTTGTGGGCACATGGGTCTGGGAAAAGGGACAGCATCATTGGAAGTGGGCATTATCCGAAGTAGACATGTTCACTGTAGAGGTTGCCCAATCTGATTAGTGCCTCCGTATCCCTCATGCTTTGTTTTGTTCCACATCACACAACGTGCATCACGAGACAAGACGTGACTTGTCTGGACTGATGACAGCGCCTATATGATCCCTCTCTAAAGGGGGAATATTTGTAACGCTTAACCTTCTGCTTAATTATTCCTCTAGTCATTTTCACACTGGCAACTGCTACTCCCATTCCATTTTGTCTGTCTCGCAATCACGCGTGAAAATCCTGACATGAACAAGACAATATGTCAAATCCCGTTCCATGACCTCTTGAGCAGCCTATCGCGTGGTATGTTCGAAATCGGTTTCGTTTTTCCCTCGTGCAAATTTGTGAAAGAATTTTTTCGTTGTTCAATCTATTCACAGAGTACACACGAGTAATTGTTAAATTTTATTACTCTAACAAAATATTTCAGAGATAACCCTTGATATTTTGCGCACACTTTACACACACACGCACATTTTACATCTAGTCCTAAACATGACATCAATTTATACCGATTGCCCTCTGCAGCCATTGATAGACCACAGCAGATGTGAGCGAAATGGCTGCCCATCGAAAGTAAAATGCGGTATGCAATGACACACCTGCAAGGCCTGGTGGCACTTCAAATGCACGAGTTTACAGGACGACCAGATAAGCCCACTGGCTAACTCTCCTGACCCATTTGTCTGCGCCAGCTGCTTCTACTTTGCGGGTGCCATGCATACCGCGGCCAAGAGGTAAGCCCCCCAAACGGTACTCAACCCCCTCTGCAGATTCAGAAAGGCCGATGTGAGTTTTCCGCTCTGGTCGGGATACTCGACGCGAATTTGGAGCGTATTTCTAAGGCAATGGAGGATTCAGACACTAAGAATGCAGCGAACTGGACGAAAGTTGACAAGGAACTTTCTTCGCTGAACGAGTACCTCGCGACTTCCATACCGGGTCATCTGGGTGCGAAGAAAGTCATACCACTTTCTGATGAGGCTATGAAAACCGCCACAGCGTCTCTAGTCGACAGGCGCCTAAGGGAAAACAGACTTATAATCTGGGGGTCATTCTCCGGAAAAATCACGCCAGCGAAGCTGGCACAGTCGATCCTTTGCAAGCCTGATAAATCGCTCCACGCAGAATGGATACGCCAGAAGGGAAGTATACGAACTCTTGGGCTTACAGTCACTCTTTCTTCCCTATCTGACGTACAGGAGATCTTTGAGCGGACTGAAAGCATTCAAAAGGCCAACTCCATAATCAGGCGCCTATCTGAGGATCGTCCTCTAGACGCGCGAAAGCTTGGTTATAGCAGGTCTGGGGTAGAAGCACGAAGTAGGCTTCCGCTGGGCACCAATTCAGCCGACCCCAAACTCATGACCAAGCCGATTGTGGTCATATCCCCTTGTGCTTCTGAAAGCAGGCCGACGAAACCAGCTGCGTCTCCGGACACCAGTTTCTATTCGACCACTACAGGCCTCCCGCCCACCAAAGGCAGGGGCCCTCCGGAGGAGGCAAACCCCACACGCAAGCAGCGCCCAAACTACGTTAGGCTATCAACGCTTATCTCCGTATCAGGGGATGCAGCTGCAGCCGTGCACTCTTCAACAAAGTCAGCCTCCGAACTGTATTGAGTCAGATGTGCGGGGACATAGGCTATCAATATCTCCGTATCAGGGGATGCAGCTGCAGCCGTGCACTCTTCAACAAAGTCAGCCTCCGAACTGTATTGAGTCAGATGTGTGTGGACAAGAAGCGAAACCAACCTCCAGCTCCACTCCGTCAAAAGCGACCTCTCTGCTTGCGGACACAACCGTCGCCCAGGACCCCGACAACCAAAGCCATAAACATGACTACAGTCATCCGGAAAATCCCTCGTACATCCAGTTAGCCACGCTGATCGCTAGCGGATCGGGTGTCCACCCAAACACGAAAAAAGAGCGACTGCAGCCAAACAAGCCACATAAAGCTCACCAGATTAGAAAACTGCTGACCGGCTTCAAGATG